GGTTATAGAAACTGCTGACTTGGAAGATGTATAGACATGTTCTTCCTTTCTTTACATGAGACTCTTTCCTATCACTCTCATTTCCTGTCATTAATTATTGTGAATTCACTCTTTGATCTTCAGAGATCAACTGATCAGGTTATCAACTCACTTGCAAGAAATATATTATATGATTTCTTGTCACAAATAGTAATAGAAAATTAGCGGTCCATTTTCTGATGGCATCTTAGTGAAGGTGAATAAAATGGCAGTGCTTTTTGCAATTCTGTGGATTAATTTTTTTGTGACAATCTGTATTGATGTTTCACTCTACACATGCTATCATAGGCTTTCTTCTCATGTTCTTTTAATAGTACTTCAAGATTTCTTTATCAATCAGTCCATGTAAACGTGGACAGAAAAAAAAAAAGCCTGGAATGTGTTTGATATTTTAATATTTATTATGGAACTTATTTTAAAAATTCCAAGGCTATCTTTCCAAAAATTGATAATAAGAAAATTCACAGTGCTTTAAAAACAAACAGATTAAATGCAATTTAAATGTAACTGCTACAATCCTTCTATCAACTAGTTTAAGAGCTGAAAAAGATACTGCATATAATCATGTACACTGGAAAATCTATGATTAGCTTCCAGAATTTGTTATTCACAAAAGGGGCTGGTAACAGTTAATTAGGCCAAATTTATGAGGAGATAAAGAGCAACAAACGCCTTTGATTTCTGAATGAAAAAGAAAAGTGAATCCAATAATACATCTCATGAATTCATTTCACAAACCATGAGAAGGAAAAAAAACAGAGGCTACTCGAGACTTGCGTCACAGCCAGATGGAACGCGGAAAGGCAGGGCTTTGCTTTCTGCGCCCGATTTCACCCTACTGGGGGCCCTAAAAGGGCCTAAAATCGTCCCGAAGAGGCGATGAAGAAGAGGGGTGCCTTGTTGATCATGGAGAGACAGCGGTCTTTCCTTTTGATCCAAGGAAGGCCCTCCAAACTGGCAGGGGAAAGACCGGCTACATTCCTGTGCCTGGCCATTAGCTGCTGACAACCGAAAAAGAAAAAAGCACTACTTAATACATTGTAAACAGCATGTTTGGAACTGGGTGAGAATATTGATCCTTTCTTTACTATTTTACAACTGAATTTCCTGGAAAAGGCTCCCATGAAGCTAAAAACCTCCAAATGTAAATGGAAGCGGCGTTTTATTTTTATGGGGGACGGAAACATACAATAATGAAGTAGAAGTAACATAAAGCTACAGTTTTGATAAATTTGAGAACTGAGATAACTGTTAAGATTTTCTCTTTGAAAAAAAAATGAGGCAAAATATAAAAAAAATCAATTCTTTGTTTTAAGAGTGGAAAATGGACTTTGAATGACATCTAGTGGTGGATTTGTGTATAGCACTATAATTTGCTTCCTGGCTGCTTGGTGATTCCTAGCTTGGGAGAACAACTGGCAATAAAGGAAAATATTTTGGCACACTTATCACCCTGACCTTCTTGGATTACAAATACCTAATGAGCTTGGACTTTTAACTTCAAGAGCTAGTGGGAGAGAAAAAAAATTGACCTAGGACTATGCTTGGCTGAGAGAGACTTTTGAGCTGTTTTCAGAGAGGTTGAACATTTTGAACACTTTGAACATTGTGGATTACAACCTTGCCTGATTGTCAATTTTTGGATACTTGAGACAAAGGATTGCGATAAAATATTGCTTTCAGAACTGAACCTATATTTTGGAATCTATTGGATTATAAAGGATACATATATAGACCAGAAAACTAGAGGAAAATTCGATCTACTCTTACTGAGTCTGGTGATACTAGAGGAATTTCAGGAATCATGCCTCAGGAAAAAAAACAAACACCTTTCAGAAAGAAATATATTCTATGCTATAAATAAAAAGAAATCATAATGAGACTAAAAATAATTTAGACAATGTAAACGAGCAAATCTCCAAATTAAATCTACAACTAGAAAGTTCCCAGATAACGACTACAAAGTATGAACAAATAATCCAGAAACCAGAAGATGAAACAGAGGAAATGGATTTAGAGATAGAAGAGATAAAAGAAGGGAAATATAAATGACTATATACAAACAAAATACTGCAAGACTTAGCAAAAACAATAAAAATGCAAAAAGCCTTTTACCCCTTATACGCAAAATATATCTGATGACAAGGAAGAAGATTTTAAAAAGGGGAATATAGAGTTGTTAAGGGAAATGTCACAATTTAGGAGACAGGGAATGAAAAAAGAAAAGGTGGGATTCCCCCTCAAAAATACCCTACCTAAATTGTCTTCCTCATGCCAAGCAATTTTTACAAAAATAGAAACAAAATTCCTGGGCGATCTAATTGCCCTGGCTTGGAAAGCGACTTGGCAAAGAAAGAAAGCGAGAGTCATATTTAAAAAAAACAGAAGATTTGACCTTTTAGAGGGGGCATTATATGTTTAAATACTTGTTTGAATAAGTTTAAAAGAACAGATGGCCTTTAGATATAATTAGACTTTTATAATGAACCATGTGATTTAGAATTAAGTTAGCATTTTCTCTCTCTTTTTTGATATGGGAAATATGAAGATAAGAGGAGGATTGATTTGAATAAAACTTTTAGCTATATAAATATAATTAATATTGAGAAAATCATAACTGATAGATATTTCAAATACTGATGGGAAATCAAATTTTAACAAGACCATGAAAAACAGGATATTGATTATGAATTGACATTATTGATTTATGAATTGATATTATTTTTATTTGTATGATATTAGTAAAATATGATGAAAATGCTTATATCTAACTTTGTATACATTAACAGTACCAAAAATTGTAATGGTGTAATGAGGGGAAAATGGAAAAAATATGGAGAAGAAAGGAGGATTAGAGAAAAAATACTGGATTATGTAGTATTGAACAGATTTATATTGAAGAAGTTAATGTTAAATATTTGAATCCAGACAACATGTTGTTTACTAAGTACTACAGACTGTAATTAATAAAACTTTTATTAAAAAAACTCAGCGGCTACTCAGTACATTTGAAGATACAGTATTGTAGATATATTGTTGCCTTAATCTAAGTATCTGTTTTTCAGATCTGTTATGATTTGGACTAAGACATAATGCTAGAATAGAACAAGTAACATTCTGGATGATGAACTGCAGATCCAAACTCTGAACAAAAAATTATGATGCAATTTCATTCATCAATTTAATAGCACCGTAAACTGTAAACTTTAGCAAGCCGAAGTCAAAAATAAAACTTATTTTTCTATTTCTTTCAAATCCTGTCTCCATACAAATCAACATTTCAATTTAGTTTTCTTTTTTAATTTAAATACAGAAACAAAAGATAAGAAAATTAAGGGAAGATAATTGCAGGGTTGAGGAATTAATCTTTTTCTTTTCTTTTTCCTTCTGTTTTTCCTGCAAATATTTGCAAAGTTTATATCTTTATTGTGAATAATATAATCTGGACAGGAACATGAGTGGGCCAAAAAGAGAGAATATCTTAGAAATATACCATGTTGACATAAGATCTCAAAGAATTTGAGATACAAATCGAGATACAATAGATAAAAAATGAAATAAAAAGATTTGTATAGCAAGTAAATCTGGAAAGAGTTACACAAAGTAAGGAAAATATCACTACCTATCTGAAATTGTTATCAAGCCTGCTAATCAAAGTTTGAGATTAGCTTCATTCAAAGTTTTTGTGCTATATAAAACTTTCACAAAAACTCTCAGCTGATTTATTATATATTTCCATATCTTACAATGATTGAATTATTGCTTATGAATATGCTGACATATCTGCATGTCACATCACTAAATATCTATTTCTGCAAAGTCTGAATTGATATATCTGAAATAACTGACTTTCAGATGCTGTTTTTTTCTCCACTTCATATGTCTCTTTCAATCATACAATGTTGTGTAGGTAGTACAGCTGCAAATTTTTCAAAACTCTTGACTGACATGTTTGGGAAATCCATTTTCTATTCCTTGTTTAGATTTTAAATTTAACATCCCTCCAAATTTCCTCTATCTTTATCATCATTTAGTTATCCACTGAGAAATTTTATTTAGCAAAACTAAGTGGAAAACCTTTGAATATAATTGGCAAGCATGCAATACTGACTTTGCTTACTATCATTAATGTCTTCAACATATCTTACAAAAGGCCACCCTCAGGATATTTGCTTTGTAATCCTAATCATTTTAGGCTTTTCAGAATATTTGTTAATCACTTTAAAAATCAATTTACCCTTGCAACCACTTCCGGAACATATGAATGGTTCTGCATCTTCTCACAGAAATAATAGAATCTGTATACAGGTTATATAGATATGGATAAATGTTTGTGCTACATAAAAGATATTGTTATTTTTATGAAGGTGAAAGTATCATGATTAATTCACAAAGAAATAAAAGCTCCGAGGGAAATCAATTCAGTGATTGTCCAGTTTGAAACAAAAAAACATGACTAGCTTGCTTATCCAACTAGCTTATCTAACTTTCCTTTTTATAGTTCACACTGGAAACAGTCCAACATTTAAGAGCACTGATTAATTGTATTAATTAGAGAGTAGGCTAAAATTTCATAACAAGGATTCCAATGAGTGCCCTATCGAAAGTAGAACACTCTGCATCTGATTATTTTCTTGGTAATTGTTAAATTTTTAAATTAGTATAAAAGGTAACCTGCATATTGGCTCAGACTGAGCAATTATTACGTTAAGATGCTCTCTGCAAATTTTAAACATGCAAACATATTTATTTATCACACTGAAAACATTTGAGATATTCAGCTGGTGAAGACCATGTAGCAAAACCATGATTTGTTGAAAGGTTGGTGATCTAAGAAAAGTGTATCAAATGGTCCATTTCCATTTACAAAAGTAAACAACAGAATTATGATGATACATGACAATTGTAGAAATCCGAACTAGTAACACTCCTACAAAAGGAATCCATTTAAAAATGGTTACCTAGATACATGTAAGAATCTTCTCCATCAACAATTGGTTTCACCCAGGTTGACCGAGGAGCAGTTGCTGTTATCAACTTGAGACCAACAGGGGGATACAACATGAATGCAATTTCAACTACTTGAGTCTTATTAAGGCTTATGTTTTTTGAACCAGAATCTGGAAAAAAAACAGATTTTTTTGCAATAAACAACAATTTCAATTCTATATCATTTCATTTATTTATAGAATTCATTGCCACAAGATGTGGAACTGTCACTAGTTAAAAGAGAGATAAGATGGAGAATAAGCATGTGCCTGTCATCTCACATAGCTATAGTATATAGTACAGAATTTTCCAATTCATCAGTGACAGCATTAAACTGATACTAGATTCTGGAAAATAAGAGAACAAGTTACTGCCAGTTTTTATATGAGGAACTGGATACACAGTATATGTTTATTATGTTAATCAGGGCATCCATTCAAATTAAAAGGAAATCAGATGAGGAGGAGAAACACATAATTGCTAGTCATCTTGCAGTTTATCGTATAACCTTTACGACTATCGTGTTTCTTCTAATATTTGCCACTCAGTAATTTCCAACCATTTTTTTCCAATCGTGTCTTATGGTACATAGCACACCAAGTAATATGTATTCCAACTTCTGAGCAAAACTATGGTAAACTGGGTGGGAACATTCTGTAACTGTAATTTCTTTACCTTTGTGTTATCCAAAAGGACCAGAATTTGGTTCTGAAAATATTATTCTGTAATCACAGACACTTGTTGATATTAGAAGGTCATAAAACAAGCATAACAATATGAAATTTCCAAGATGACCTTTGCTACCTCTAATATTAATTGTAATAAGCATGCAACGTTTGATGAAAGAAATTAATAAAATCTTTACCCATTTCTATATATATATTTAAGTTGAGATGTTTAATATTTTTCTTACCATAATAAACACAAACTTTTCTTCTATATAAAGAAAAGATAATATATCAAGTAATACATAATGGCTGTATTGTACAAAATATCACATGTTGCAATATAATATAGAAACTATTTGGTTTAGCATATATATTTTAAGAATCCAAGTTTGACAAGCTAAGTCCTCCAGATATACTGAACCTGAATTTTTATCTTAAACTATCAAGTGGAAACAGATTGCTATTCTGGTCCAGATTGAGGCAGGCTGAAATAAATAAAGTTACATTTTAGCCAAAGTTCTAGTCCAAACTAATAAAATGAATGTCAAGAACTCTTAAATATATAAGCTCTGAAAATATTACCACAGAAACCATTTTAGTGATGGGGTTTATTTTCTTCAACATGAAATAAATGAATATCATATATTTTGTCACATCATTTTTATTGAACAGTCCAGTTCATTAGTAATAAAAATGGTAAACACAGCCATTCATTCATCAACATGAAAACTACTGTATTCATATGCTAACAAAAGGGAATGCAACAAACACTGCCTTTATTCCTAAATTAATGAAGCATCTGTTGTTTAATTATGTCTTCTTAAATAGAAATGTATCTATAAGCACATTAATGAAGATTCATAAGGTCAAGACTAGCAGGTGAAAGTGAAACTGTTTAAAAAGTCATTTCAAGGCATGTCAGCAAAGGTTTGTAATTAGGAAAAACAAATAAAAGAAGTTAGAATTGCTAGTTTGGAGAATATAGCACCTTTCTTCTGCCAAAATACAGTCCCATTATGGTTCTGTAACAGAAGGTAAAGGATGGGATTGCAATATGTGAACACATTATGCAAGAGCTAACAACCTTTGTCAGATCCTGTTAACTCTTTATGGAGTGCCATTTCACATATTGTAACTTGGACCAGGAGGATATGATTACAGTTACTGCATTAATGCATGTTCATGGATAGCATCAAATAATTAAAGAAAAAAACTGGCAAAAAAGTAGGAGCAGAAAATTAGAAAGCCTTCAAATATGAAGAAAAGACATTTGTTTTTTTTTTAAAAAAAATTGTTTACAATATACAATATTACAAATTTACATTGTATCAAACCTACTGAATAAAATTCACAATATTTTACTGTTTTATTCGGTAGGTCTGATATAATGTAAATTTGTGATATTCAAAACATTTCAGTTTTTAGGCATTCACATTTCAAGAAGCTTGTTTTGGGATTAAAACAAAACTTAGTGCTTTAAGTGGCATCAGTTGCCTACTCCAAGTATGCCTGCTATTTAATTGGATGTTGTGTTGGGACTTATGGCTGAATTGCTTTTCTTCAACCTTGTTCTAGCTTAACCAGCATAGTGTCAGGAACTAGTTATATCCCTGCTGCTATGGGTGATGGAGTGTTGAGAAAAAACAGCAGTTAAGCACATGGCCATGCAGAAGATTGCTTGTAGTTGCATTCCTGCCAAGCTACTTGGCAAGTTATTGCTTTTATTTTTTAAAAGTCTTTCTATAGGAAAGCTGAAGGTCATGTTGGTGGGTGGCTGCAATTTCTACTGGGTTTCACACAAAAATGTTGCTAATGCTGTTGAGCAGAAATTAGAATCATGTTAATTTAGTTGTTTTGAGCTTTGTTTTACTTTTCTGTGTTTATTACTATGCTGAATTTCTAAACAGCATTATAAAATGCCAAAACTGAAGATTCTGCATTGCCTCTTGTGCTCCTGTGCTGCTAAGTTTTTGTTTTCTTTAACTTCTGCAGTGTGTATGGTTATATGTATGTTGATGGATAAGAATGTGACTATGTATAGGGTTACATGAGATTGTTCTTGCTCTCTTGTGAGCTTTTTGAATATATTTTACCTGCTGGGTATAGAACAGATTTTTGCTAATATATTGTAATTATAAAGCAAAAATGTAAGCACCACATTGGGTACAGCATAAACATATTAATAATTTTTTGCCTGCCAAATGTTCTAAAGTAGGTAAATGATGTAGATCAGTGGTTCTCAACCTGTGGGTCGGGACCCCATTTGGGGTTGAACGACCATTTCACGGGGGTCGCCAGACAAGGCTGTCCGCCATTTTTTCCCCCTTTCCTTTGGCCACGCCCCTGGCACCCGGTGATGTATAAGTGGGTGGGGGTCACCACAACATGGGGAACTGTATTATGGGGTCGCGGCATTAGAAAGGTTGAGAACCACTGATGTAGATAATATGTTAGTTTCCTTATAGGCTAAGGGGCTTTATTTAACAAAGTGAAGATTGGTTCTCTAGCAAGAAAGCCAAATGTTCTTGTTAAATTTGTTTTAATTCTAGTCTTTCAGAAATGTTTTTAAACAATACCACTGGATGGTTTTATGCAGATTGGCTGGCTGATAGCTTGAAGCCCCATCTATTCTCGTAGTAGTTGTATGAAAAATAAAAGAGCAAAAAAATCATACTATAGTGTATTGTTTCCTATAGCTAAAATATTGAAATGTGTTTTGTTTCAACTACAAATGGAATACTTAAAAACTGTTTCATTACATCAAGACACAAACCATACAGAAAGCTTAGGTGGCATGTTTTAGTTGGAGATATTCTATTCCAATCTCAGCAAAACCTGTTTTCCATTTTCATTTATCACCATACTGTAGAAATACTATAAGAAGTTCTGGCCTGATGCTCACTTATACAAAATAATTCAATTTTCCATTGAGAATTCAGTCTAAACAAAGAAGGCATACCTGCTTTAATAGGCAGTATAAAAATATTGAGCTCCTCAATAAAAGTTAACTTCATTTTGTTTTTTCAGCATTTCTTTAACCAATACACTACATTTGCTATCATAAAATTCTAATGAATAATTAAAATGGCAAGTGGTTGGGTTTTTTTCTTCCATTCAATTGGTTCTGAATTTTGGAAAGTGCCTAGATGAGGGGTCCCCAACCCCCCAGTCCATGGACCAGTACCGGGCCACGGCATGCCAACAACCAGTCCACACAAACAAGCAAAGCCCCATCCACAGGATGCAGGCAGTACTCAAAACCACGCACCTTTCGGTCCATGGAATAACTCTCTCCACGGAACCAGTCCCTGGTGCCCAAAATGTTGGGGACCTCTGGCCTAGACAAGTCCTTGCAGTTTTCTTAGTAAGTTTTTTTCAGAAATGGTTTGCCATTGCTTCCTTCCTAGGGCTCAGAGAAAGTGACTGGTCCAAGGTCTAAAGTGGACCTAAGGTAGAACTAGAACTCAGGCTCTCCCAGTTTCCAATCTGATGCCTTAACCTTTACACCAAATTGACTTTCAAGTAGGTGCTAGCAAATGATAAAAAGTGTATATATTTTTTCTTGACAAAAAATCATAAAATAAAATTACAATTTGCATGATTCTACAACAAGAAATGTGATGTACAGCATCCTTTTCAATCATACAGACATGACTATGAGTGGCTCTTGATCTTAGGGAAGCTTTCCTTAGCCCATTAAACAATTTAAGTCTTTAATCATCATTGTGGAGTGAAAGTTTTTTGTTTTTTTCTTCAGGCAAAAAGAAGAGAAGTGTGGGGAAGAAGCAGAGGATTATATGGTATACAGAAGGTGGTATGTGTAATGCATCATCATTATTATTAATGTTTATTGCTAACTTGGTCAAATGGTCAAGGCACCAGGCTAGAAAGTAGGAGACTGTGAGCTAAAGCCATTAAAGCCAGCTGGGTGACTTTGAACCAATCACCACTCTCGTAGCCCAACCCACCTCACAGGATTGTTATTATGGAAAAATAAGAGGAAGGGTGCGTCAGATATGTTTGCTGCCTTGAGTTTTGTAAAAATAATAAAGATGGATACAAATAAATAAATAAAATAACAGTATTTAAACATATTTGTATTATACCCCAAACAGTATTTCTGGTCTCTATGATCAACAGAAATTTTCCTCAAACTATAGTATTTTATTAAAATGTGAGCATAATTTGCAAAAGATTAATAAACAATTTGTCTGCAACAAAAGGTGAATGACATTAAATTGATTTCTCTGAAAGCTGTGACTTACATTATTAATTAGACTTCCCATTGTGCAAATGATTAATAAGAGAAGGAAAGAGATTCAGTCACACACAGAAGGCAAATACGAGAATCTTTTAATAAGAAACCATTTGTACAATTTCAACGTAGCATAATAAAGTTATTGAGTACTGTTGAAAATGTTTGAAAATAGTTTACTGTACATTTAATGTGGGTT